TTAGAGTAATTAATCATATAATTTAGTTATATTATATAAAATTAATAGATATATTTTAACAAATAGATTTTAACTCTTTCTCTAATTATAATACTACAACTATATATAAATGAAATGGTAAAATAGAATAAATAAAAATATAAATTACGTACAAATATCGATTCAACCGTAAAAATGTATAACATATTTAATTCTAATGTATCAGTCGGTAACGAAAAATGCAAAAATAATACGTTGATATTGATATGATAGACAAAATTTTTTATGAACGAGACTAATACCAACTCGCCCATTTCATTAATATAGTTGAAGGTTTGACATTAAGATGTAAGGTTGAGACTGAGATTGTAGGAGAACTCCAGAAGTTTAGTTTAGTGGTAGAAGGTAGACTGTAAATCATGTTGATTTCTAAGTATTGAAATAAGATTATACATGGTGTAGACAAATATATACTTTTAGTATATGTATTTATTTCCGTCTATATAGTTTTCTTCTAAAAGAATTATTATATACAGAAATTCTGAGAGCCATAAATCTGGTTTTTCTATATATACTATGATATCTTTTGAATAAATCAAAATTTCAAAAAATAAGACCCAAAAGGAAAAAAGAAAAATTGAAGCCCTAACCCGCGTCTCCTGGTTCGTCCTCCTCGGCGCAAGTACGCTTCTCCCTTCCGCTTCATCTTCTTCCTTCGCACCTGCTTCCTTAGCGCAGTGACTCCTCGATGCTTTTCGATTGTGTATTTGAAGTTCTCCTCTTTCTTTTTTAGGTAAAGCAACAAGAAGAGCTGCGAAGATTCAAATTAACATGGTAATTCTTTATTTACTCATGGATCTCAGTTTTGATTTAGTGCGCGCTTATTTTAGACTGAAATTAGTTGTTAAAAATTCAGTCTGGAAGGAAAGAGACGGTGCTGGATTTGGCAAAGTTTGTGGATAAAGGAGTTCAAGTCAAGCTTACTGGTGGCAGACAAGGTCAATACTACTGTATAATATCTATCGTGTTTTGTATTTTTTGTTTACATAATTTTTATAATTCCATGTTCATTTGTGTAATTATTTAGTTTCCTTTCTGTAATGCTTAAACAATACCTTCGTGTTGTGGTGCATCTGTTTTGAGTATTCTTATTTACTTTTGATTTTGCTTGTGGTTTTGGGTCTCTGCTTAAATGAATTCTATTTTTTATTTTATTTTTGTGGAAATGAGTGTATAAGAAAGGGATCCATTTCTTGTTTGTAACAGTGACAGGAACTCTAAAGGGCTATGATCAATTGTTAAATCTTGTCCTGGATGAAGCGGTGGAGTTTCTTAGAGGTACTTAACCATGCCAAATTAGTAAATTTATGTGTGCATATGTAGTTTTATAGCATGTATATGAACTAGCTTGCAATGTTTACACTAGTGTCTGGGTATATGTTGGCTAATAATCATATAGTGAACGTACTGATGCAGCTTGGTCGTGGTAGTTTCTCTTTTGATCCTTTTTTGGATATGGATCATCAATGCCAACGAGACGTATAACATTGTCATTAATTCTACCTCAACGATTGTAGTTTTATCTCTTAGAAAGTATTGGTTTTGCCAATTTCAGCCCCAAAAACCATGATCCATTGTCTATTTGAATATTCAATATGTTAGTTACATAATTTTTCTTTGTACTTTTTTTGTGATGGACTACGACGATCATGTCAGCAAGGGTTAGTTTGTTCCCAGCCTGTCTGCTTTTAGTTTTTCCATGTTCTGCTTTGGTTTTTAGGCTTTGCATTGCAGATGGTTATTATTTGTGTAGTGGTAAGTTAATGACTCTCTTTTGGATAGTTTTATTTTGCTGTAAGAGATATATTTACGGCTCTGTTGAATTGAGAAGTTTAAGCAGAAAATTATTCAGAAAAGTTTCACGTTTCTTACTGAACTTGGAAGTGGGTTGGGTTCTCTCAAATGAGCCCTTATACTTAAAATAGGTTCTATAGGCAGAAAATCTATGAAATATTCTTTTAATTTTTTTTCTAGATTTCTCTATTGCTAAACCCATAACTAGTCTCAAATTAGGGCTGTAGAAATTTTGCTTTGCATATTATTTATTTGGAAATAGCTTTG